TTTTTTTTCTTTTTTTTATGTCCGCCTCCTTGCTGTTGAATGCCCGCAGGAATCACATCGGCCAACGCGTGCCAGGAGAAGTGCACAAACACAGAGGGTTGTGCAACCTTCTCTTGGGGCGCCGCGCGGAGCCTGTGCTGCGTTCTGGATGTGAGGATGTTTCCGCATGAGCAACAGATTTGGGCGCACGAATGACAGTGATAAGATCAAGACAGAGTCGTGGCAATGATGATAGTAGCTCTTGGCCCAGGAATGTGCCTGGGCTCTCAGATGTATGCTTCATGAAGAAGCTGAACCCGAACGAGAAAGTCAAGTTGGTCAGCAAAAAGGAGACGATCGCAGGCTGAAGAGCTGAGTGGGCTGGGAACTGGAGAGACTGAACCTGAGTAAGTTACTATACGTGAACAATACGACGGGTTAAAAGCCCAAGCACTTAACTCTGCCACCCAAGAGTGGTCTTCATCGAATATGGTGGTCATACACCCAATCCATGGCCCACTGAAGAGTTCTATCGAATCCTCAACCCCAAACCCTAAACCCTATTCCCCTAAAACCTTAAACTTCATGGAAGGCCTTCCCTGCGGCTGCCGAACTCCTGCAAGCCAAGCCTTGTGGCCACGAGACGAGGCCAGTTACTGCTGGGGAACCCGAAGATTCCTATCAGTCAGGGTTGAGGGTTGAGGGTTTAGGGGTTTAGGGGTTTAGGGTCTAGGGGTTTAGGATTTAGGGGTTTAGGTCTCACATTGTACACCATTGATGTTATCATGAGCAGTATACCAAGAATAAATCTGAGGATTGCGATAGCGCCACATAGTCTTCTTGGCTCCGGCGCAATGAAAATGTGCACACCACGGATGCCGTATTCATCGATGCTTACGGTAGTTTGCTTGGTCGAAGGCAGGAATACCCTTTCCACCGTACTTTCGCACATGCCAAAACATCTCAGTTTGCGGCATGCCCTTTGCTTCGTGTGTGGAAGGCGTACGTATGTACGGCGGTTTCTGGCTCTCATTTTTCCTCGGAGCATCATGACCTCCGTGTGACCGTTGCATTCGTTCCCCCTAAACATCCATGTCCAAACCACGGCACACTCTTCATCCTTTGAGTCCGGAAGCCCACTCGACTAGGGCTACTGACGTGTATTGCTACTCGGTACTACTCGTAGCTGTTCTTCTTGTGGTCCTCTTCACGCTCCGACGCTGGTGCACCGCGTGCTGATGCATAAAGTCGAATCGCACCAACTCGAGCGAGCAACACTTTGAATACCTACTTTCACATTTGCACAATTCTCGCACCTACATACCGACGTTCTTTAGCAAACTCACCCAGAACCTGAGGGCACTTTGCCTTTGCGCGCATTCACGAAGGAAAAACCGGATACATCTACATACCGATGTTGTCGAGAAGTGCAAAACAAAAGCAAGCTGCCCACGGAAAACGCCGTGGGAATCGATGTGTGCGGCTTCGGCTGGTTTACCACATGTTCATTTCGTGGGAGCGCGCTTCTGTTTATTGTTGCCGTAGCAGTAATTTCTCTTTTGCGCATAGACATACTCCATCGACATGATAGATTCGAAACCAGCGTGACGGTACTCGAGAATAGCTTCATTATACGTACTCAACATTTTGTCCGAGGTACAAGATTGCAAGACTGCTGGATGGGTTCTTAAGAGGAATCTTGAATTCACGACCCTGCACGACCCTCACCCGGTACAGTACAACCTGGGGTGTAGAGTAGATGTATGTCAGTGTATGTCTCCAAACAATGACATGAACAGATGTGGCAAGCGTACGCTAATATGGAGAATTTAGAAACTACGTAAGACAACCCAGATCATAGGATGATAAGGATGACGCACAACTGACAATTTTGCATCATACCCGAATCTGAACATATCATGCTAGCCTGTGGCTCGCCATAGAAGACATATGGAAGCATTTTCAGTATCTGACATTGCTGTAGCGCTCTCACAAGCCACTGAAAGAGGGTTAAAGTTGACCGTTTCATCATGACAATATGACATCATGGCAATAGTTAAGTTAGAGAGGAAGACTCAGCGACGCTATGCTGCATCATAAGACCACGCGAGCTAACAGCAACTCGGTAATATCGTGTACCAACAGACGCCGCTTCGGGACGGCTGCGATGGATGTAAATAAAAGTTTGGATGAACATACATACATTCATGTATTCATAAACAGAGATATCTATCTATATATATATGTATATATATATATAATATGTGTATGCATACATATGCCTGTGGCTGTGTGCGTGTGCACATACATGCAGTTGTGTGTATTTTTTAAAGTGCCTGTATGCAAATATGTATATGTAACATGTGTTCCAGAAGTCGTTTGAGTAGTGCCGGGGTTTTAGTGTCGGCGAGCCAATCTTTTTGTCAGGCGCACATCTTCCGGATGCCAAAGCCTCCGAGTCCGCGACTTAGTGATTTGGTTTCGAAGGTACCTGAGCTGGGGAACAGAAGGCCTTTATCTAGATTCCCTAGACGTGTCTCTTAGCAGAATGCAAAGCATTGTGACGTGCATGCATGTATGTGTGCATGCGTTAATATACATATATATATGTATATATACATATATAACCCTAAACCCTAAACCCAAAATATATATATATATATATACCGCAGCCTCTATAGAGTCTTCATTCAGAGGCCCCTTGAGCCTTAAAGAGCCGCTGAGGTCCCCGCCCAGCCAGTCCTGGGAGTTGCTTCTGCACCGCCCTGCGCCCGGGAAGCAGAGGATACAGACGCCGTTTTTTTAGGGTTTAGGGTTTAGGGTTTAGGGTTTAGGGTTTTCTGTCTCAGTGGGGGTTCCTGACTATAACTATAGTACAACTATAGTATAACTATAGTATAATGGGCCGCAAAACTCGATTTCTAAATTATTTGTGCTCTTGGAGGTTAGCGGCTGCCTGAGGGTTTGGGGCTTTAGGGCTGTGCGGGGTTTGCCGGGCTACAGGGGCCTAGGCGCAGATCAGCCAAGGATGCGAGCGTACTCTTACGAAATGGGCATGATGACCCAGCAGTACAATCAGAAGTTGGGAATTTTCGCTTGTACGGGCTTTGCTGTCTACAGCAACCAGGAGATGGTCCTTGCGGAAGGGCTGATCACAAAAAAGGTCTACACATCGCAGATGTGCGAGACGGGCGGGGAGTTCAAGACGGCGCTGAACCTGAGGATCTTCGCTGCCTATTGGAAGCAACTCTTCGTGGATGGCGATTTTCTCAACTACAACTATGTCATCAAGGCAGATGCCGACACCGTCTTTCTCTTCAATCGGCTTCCGCCCCTGCTTGCCAAGTACGACGACAGAGCTTCCGGTTATGATGGCAAGGGGGCGCACTCCTCAGAAGCAGCATGTCCTCCCCTGTAATCCAAGACTTAGTGGAGAGCTGGCTTTTTTCAATAGGTTTGACGTACGTTCCTTCCTCACCTCCAGGTTTACTTCAACAACTGCAAGTATGGGATGCACGGTCCGCTCGAGGTTTTCTCTCAAAATGCGGTGCTTGCTCTTTGGGGCCTGTTTGAGACCTGTTACTACTACTTCCTTGATCTGTGCAGTGGCGATTGCAATTGGGGAGAAGATCTTTGGTGCGATCAGTGCCTCAAGAGGAAGGCAAACAGAACCATCGACCGGGTGAACCTCTACGATCTTCTTCAAGAGCGCCACTGCGATCCACCGAAAGATTGGGACTCTTGCACAGACCCTGATGTCGTAGCGTTCCATCCCTTCAAGTCCGTGGAAACCTGGCAAGCTTGCCATGACAACACATTGTAAGCAGCGAGGCCGTGGCCTAAGGCATCTAGCCTCGCTGTGATCATAGCGTCCCCAGACGTGTCACCCGGGACATCCATTTCTGGCTTCTAGATGCTTCTAGCTTAGACTGGCGTGCAACCCGCGCTGCACATGTCGGGTCATGTCATGTCAGGCAGAGAGTGGACCTAATTGAGACGTGCGGTTGGACGTGCGGTTGCTCTCCCCGAATGGTACAAGGCATGGGGCTTTCTAAAAGGAAGGTCACCGAAGTCCAAAGCAGGCCATGCCGAAAAGGATATGCCTTCCACTCCAGTGGGCGATTGGGAGCAGCGGAGCGAGAGAAGCTTGAAGCCTTTTGGGAGAGTCCCATCCCCCGACTTTTCTGAGGCATGGCCTCTTCTGGGCCGGTTCATCTACACCGGTCTCTGGCCTGTGTCGGACGGGGTCCTTGCCGTCGGCGCTGGACCTCCTAAGCCCGGGAGCGCCGCTGCTCTCGAGGGCACCCTGCCAACCAGGTGGGAGATTTCATGAGAAGTGGGGGAGCAGATTGAAACAAACAAAGGGAGACAAAGGGAGACAAAGGGAGAGAGAGAGAGAGACTCGGATTCCTACTTGAGCTGTTTAGGATACAGTCGGTGCAGTCATCCATGCTCACGTCAGTTGATGTCCCCGATAGTGATCAATGCGTTTTTGAGTGTTGCTTTCTCTGCTTTCGAGAGGTGGACTACAGCTGTCATATTTGAAGTGTGTGTGTGTGTGTGTGTGCGCGCCATGCGTGCGGGGAATGGCCCGTCATGACCACATCACATGCCTCAACGAAGCTTTGTTGTCCTCATGGGTGGTCGTTGTCGACAAGTTTCAAAACAAAGGCATGTGAGCTAATTAAAAATAGGTGTCCAAAGCGCTGAACATGGGGGGAAGTACTGGTGTCACGATCAAGGAAAGTCAATAACTCGACCATGTCCGCCCTATCTTGAAACTTTCACCGTCCCCTCACAGCCCCAGAAACACATGGGAGGGGCCCACAACCCGTCCCTCCAATGACTCTAATGCCCAGTGGAAGAAGAAGAGATGGTATTTTGAGGGTTCTTTATTTTAATTATAGTATAATGGGCCCCAAAACCCTATTCTAATCATTATTTAATTATAGTATACTGGGCCCCAAAACCCTATTCTAATTCTTATTTGTACTTATAGTATACTGGGCCCAAAACCCTATTCTAATTATAGTATAATAGTATACTGGGCCCCAAAACCCTATTCTAATTATAGTATAATAGTATAATGGGCCCCAAAACCCTATTCTAATTATAGTATACTAGTATAATGGGCCCCAAAACCCTATTCTAATTATAGTATAATAGTATAATGGGCCCCAAAACCCTATTCTAATTATAGTATAATAGTATAATGGGCCCCAAAACCCTATTCTAATTCTTATTTAGATTATAGTATAATGGGCCCCAAAACCTTATTCTACATATTGAGTTGAATTACAGTATACTGGGCCCTATTCTAATTATTAAAGCCCCTAAGTTGAGACGCCCCCAAAACCCTATTCTAATGATTAAGGTCCCTAAATGGAGATACCGAGACTCGGCGAGGCTCCCCGGCTTCGCCTTTCGGACTGGCGCGGCTCGGAGCCTCGTCGTCGGCCTTGGACTTCGTGCACGCAGGGCCACCGCTGGTGCCTCGTCAAAGCACGCGTCCGATGAAAACCTACCCAGAGACTCCAATGTCCCTTAATTAAGGAATATTCCTTAAATTATAGTAGGATCCTCAATGTGATTTAAGGTATATTCCTTAATTAAGGGACATTGGAGTCTCTGGGTGGCTGACCTAGCTGACCTAGCCCAGCCTAGCTGCCAGCTTGTGCCCAGGTGCTGCGGGCCTTCGGCCATCTTGATTTTCTACTTCCGGCCTACGGCATGTCAGTATCCCAGACCATCTCAGGCCTCTGCCCGGGCCTCTGAGGGTGCTTGCACTGCAGGTCGTGTCCTGGCTCGCCGATGTTGGCGTTGGATTTCGTAAACCTCGATCCAATGATGCTGCTACGTGCCTTGGCGGTGTCGCTGTCCTTTACAGGGGCCGCGAGGTCATCTAATGCGGACTGGTTCATGAGATAGCCACAGTGCTTCCTTTTTTGCCTATTGACTCTTCATCGGGCTTACACCGTCTGTCTAAGGGAGTCCTGTGTGCCTGGAACTGCCTCCGTTGGTCTACGGCATCGCCTGAAGCTGAGCTCCTAAAAGAGGGCTTCGCAGATCTGAAGAGATGGAGATAGAGGGCCCTGACACCGATCATGAGAGGCCTGCCTGGAACCCTCCCTTCCGGCACCGGACCTGGTGAATCCGGGCTCTCCGATGACTCTTCATGCACCCGTCCGCCAGCACCTCAGCAAGCTGTGCGGCTTCTTCTCACTGGCTGAACCAGGGACGACGGAGGAGTTTCTCTTGTTGACAACCTACAAGACTAGTATGACTGGTAGCTTGCTCTGCAGGCCCGGGCGTGGCGCTACCCGTCTTCGGGTGCTTGCAGACGGGCCCGTTCCTGCCAGTCCTGGACCTCGTCCACTTGGGGCAGCCCGGCAGTGTTGAGATTCCTCGATGGACGTACATCTTAAACTGATCTTCCGAGGCTGCTGCCGCTTTTGCGATCACCTGGCTGCTCCGATCCGTTGCTCTTCGCCTATGGCTTGTCCAAGCTTGGGCTGCTATTGCAGGGCACTTACAGTTTGCAGTTGCATGGCCTAGAGGTTCAACTCTAAACTGTGTCCGAGTCCCGACTGATCGAGGCTTGTTCTCGACTCTTTGTCTGTGGGCTTCCTGTTGCTTCTCCGAAGCTTCATGCAGCTCGACCTCACCTCGGCGGTGTTCGGCATGTCACAACCTGGCCTCAGCACAACGGTCTTGGACTTCACCCACCTGGCCTTCACGCCTTCGCTTCGAGGCCCTGCTTGCTTGGGCTTCGCCCTTTTGGCCTATGGCCTGGCCTGGTCGGGGCTCTCTCCGTCAGTGCTAGATTCCATCAGCACCGCTTCCTCGTCGTTCTTGCAGACGCTTGCGCGTTCAGGCTTGCCAGTGTTTGCTTGGGGCACCGCTTGCTTGGAGTCCTCAATCCTAGCCTCAGACCCTGCCAACATGGGTCTCTCTCCGGTGCCACATGGCCTTGCATGTTTGGGGTCATTCTCAGCAGCCTGTGGATTCACTTGTCTGGAGCCTTCACTTCTGGTGTCGGATTTCATGGCACTCGGCCTGCCGCCCCCTCTCCATGGTCTTACGTGGCTTGATTCCTCCATGCCGTCATATGGGGTCAGTCGCACAGAGCTGTCTCTTCTGACACCTGACTCGGTCACCCTTGGCAGCTCCTTTTCCTTGAGGTCGTCTGCATGTGCTGGAACGTCGCTCACAACTTCCGGCCTGCTGCGACCGGGGCCATCTCTCTCGGTCCCGGACTCCGCGCAGACGGACCCCCCGCTCCCCGCGCGTACCTTCGTCCGTTTTGGCTTTGTGACGCCGGCGTCTGGAGTAAGCAGGCTCGAAGACTCTCCGTCGGTCTTGGATTACGTGTGCCTAAGCAGCCCGCCTTCGCCTCGAAGCTGCGCACGCTTCGGTCTGTTGCCTCTGCCTTTCAGCGTGGCCTGCCTGGGCCTTTCGATGTCGGTACTGGACTTTATCCAGATGGACTTCCTGCTGCCTTTGCGAACACTTGCGTGTTCAGGCCTTCTTATGTCGGCCTTCGGATTGAGTCGCCCGGAAAGCTTCGTGTCCATCCCGGATTATGTGAGCATCGGGTCGCCAACGCCGCTCAGGAACTTTCTTCATATGGAGATCTTGCTGTTTCTGTACGGCCTTTCACAGCTTGGTCTGTCCCTGCCTGCACTGGACCCCGTACATCCCGGACTTATGTCAGTTCTGAAGACACCTCTTCGTCCCGGCTTCTTTTCATCTCTGTATGGCTTGTCCTGCCCAGGGCTCTCACCGCTACCACCTGACTTCTCAAGCCTTGAGCCCATGCCTCTGGCACGAAGCCTTTTGCAGCTGGGCTTTTCGACCTTGGTCTTTGGCATGAGCCGCCTCGGACCCATGCCTCCTGCTCCGGATTCCATTGCCGTGGGTTCTGTGCCTTTCTTGCGAAGCTGCGTCCGACCCGATCCCATGATGCCCGTTTACGGACTGGCATGGCTAGGCTTTTTCATTTTGGCCTCAGACCTTGCCAGCACCGGCTCTTCTTCGCTCTTGCGCAGCTTCTTTCGAGTTGACCTGATGATGCCTGCATACGGCCTAGCAACCTTGGAAGCCTCGTTTCTGATTCTGGATCCCGTGTCTACCGATCCGTCACTTCCGCTGCAAGCATCCCTCCAACTTGGCTTCTCTGCACCTGTCTACGGCTTCTCGGCGTCGGGGCCTTCTCTGTCGGTGCCCGACTTCCTCAGCCTTGATGCGCCCTTGTCCCCGAGGTCTCTCTGCTGCCCTGGCCTCAGCCTGCTTGTCTCCGGTGTCAACTATCCTGGCCCGTCGACGCCCGCGTCGGACTCTGTGCACGTCGGCTCACTTTCAGCCCTTCGGAGCTCCATGCACTTGGGCCTCTTGACGCTAGTCTATGGCGTGGCTTGATCGGGCTTGCTTCCGCTGGTCTTGGACTATGTTTCCATGGGCCCTTTTCTGTCCTTAAGAACCTACATGCGTCCCGAGCCGGCCCTGCCAGCATTTGGCTTCTCCAAATCGGACTCCTTTCTGCCTGCCCCTGACTTTGTGCATTTCGGCTTGCTACTGCTTTTGAGGAGCTTCTCCTACACAGGTCTGCTACCGTTGGCTTATGGCCTAGTCAGGCTAGGTCTCTCGATCTCCGCTTTGGATCATGGATCCATTGGCCCTGTGACGTCCTCAAGGGCATCTGTCTGACCAGGTTTCGTGCCTCCGACCTATGGCGCTGTGTGATTGGAGCCATTGCTGTTGGTTCTAGACCCCTTACATCTAGACATCTCTCTGAGCTTGCGGAGTCTTTTCCAAATCGAGGTT